TAAATAAATAAATAAATAAATAAATAAAAAGATCTAGTTCCATCTGTATATGTGACTCTCTCCTGCTTCTACCCACTACTCATGTGGTGGTTACATTTTAACCTTTAAATGTCATTTTAAATTCTCACCCCTTCAGAAATGCACTGATGGTCATCTTTTTAAAGTGGGTTTATGCCCCCACAGTTATTTCCTATGACATTACTAGTTTATTTCCTTTTATAAAGTTCAGAATCTACAATTATGTATATATTCATTTTTATTCACTGTCTGTTCCTCTGCTAGGTAGAAACTCCCTAAGGATTTGTTTACCATTTTATATCCAGCTCCTAGGATAATACATGGCATATGGTAGTAAATGATAAATGTATTTTAATTGATGGATTTAATTCAGAGGTTTGAGTAAATTCTCATATACAGTTATATGTAAGACAATAACTAGAGATTGCAAGGGGGTTGGAGGGCGGGGGCAGTGGAGGACCAGGGTGGGGACCTGGCCGGAGCATTGGATGAGCTGGGGTCCCTGGCTCTGTCTGAAGGAAGCGAGGATGCACTGGCTGAGCCGTTGAGGGGACAGACCTACTGGCGGGCAGGCGCGCTTTCCCTCTCAGCTCCTGGCCACACGTGCCCTGAACCAGGCTGCCTCGTGCGCTGCGTCCGGATAGTGTCCCCACCGTCGCAGGGTGGGCCACTGGCCACTGGCCCCCACCTCGCTGTTAGTGGCTAACTCTTCTTGCCCAGTTTTAGTACCCGGCACAGTCCGCCTCTGGCCAGCAGCCCGCACCCAGCACAGGCAGCGCCCGCCTGGGTGGGGATGGACTGGTGGAGGACAGGACTGTGACCCCAGCCCAGAGCCCCTGCACGCTGCATGGCATGTAGTGGGAGGTGGTGCGTAGTAGGCTCCAAGGCATTTCTGGAGAATTGCTTTTCTGGTCCGAGGAAGATCTTATAATCAGTGGATAAAGTGGGGAAAAGGTGGAACACCTTCAAATACAAATGTGAGAATCCTTTCAGTCATGAGGGAGGAAGCCGTAGTGAAAATGTGGATACGAGCTCTAACAGGTGTTTGTCCATCAAAGAGAAAAGTATCAGTCTGTGAGACTTGGCTCCTCAGCAGCAAAGCAGTTCTTAAGAGAAAATGTTGCCTTACAGCTTGAATTAAGTCCTTCAAAGAATTCTTCAAGGAGAAACGAAAGCTGTGCTAGTGAAATCCCTCAAATTGTTGAAATTAGCATGGAGAAAGATAATGATTCATGTGTCAGCCCAGGAACAATCACACGAAGAGATTGCTACCTTCGACATGCCCCGTGGGGTGGGAAGAAAAAGCATTCCTGTTCCGCAAAAGATCAGAGTTCTTTGGATACTGATAAAAAATTTGGTAGAACTCGAAGTGGACTGCAAAGACGAGAGGCAATACAGAGTGAACTCAGCACGTGAAATGGACCTCATTTCCGGCAGAGCCCTTAGGAGGCTGCAGTATACTGGGGCTTTTGTTTTCATATGAGAACTTACAGAGGCAGTCGAAGCCCCTCTTTTCCAGTAAAAGAAGAGTACATCTGTCTGAATTAATGCTCAAGAAATGTCCTTTTCCTGCTGGCTCAGATTTAGCCCAAAAAAATGGCGTTTGATTAAACAACATGAAGCTCCTGTGAGCCCACATTCAACCTTTGTTGACATATTTGATCAGTCCTTGGTTTCTACAGAAGATGAAGAAAATAGGCTTAGAGAGAGAAGACGACTTAGTATTGAAGAAGGGTTGGACCCCCCTCCCAAGGCACAAATACATACATTTGAAGCTACTGCGCAGGTTAATCCCTTACATAAACTGGGAACAAAGTTAGTTCCTGCAATGATGGAAATGAGTGGGGACAGTTCTGCAGTTCCACAAGCTACTTGTGACTCAGGAGAGGACACAACCAGCCTGTGTTTGCAGTCACGGAGGCAGAAGTAGGGCCAGGTGTCTGGAGGCAGCCATACCCGTGTTAGCAGACAGGGAGCTTGAAAAGTCCATACACAGATTGATTGCATACACTACCTTGTGCCAGATTTGCTTCAGATTACAGGGAATCCCTGTTCCTGGGGAGTGATGGGTCGATATGAAGCAGAAACCCTTCCGGAAGGGAAACCTGAAGGCATATTTTTACTACCTCTTCTCTGTAAGCTTCCGCTGCTACAACAGATCCCTGCACACCAGACTTGAACAGTGGAATCGCAACTTCAGTTTTGAGGCCCATGACCCCTGTGTGTTTCACTCTTCCACTGTAACAGGACTTGTAGAACATTATAAAGACCCCAGTTCTGGGGCTGGGGATTTAGCTCAGCTGCACAGCGCCTGCCTGAAAAACACAAGGTCATGAGTTCTATTCCCGGTACCAGAGGAAAACCAAAAAAAAAAAAAAAAAAAAAAGACTCCAGTTCTTGCATGTTTTTTAAACCATTGCTTACCATATCTCTGAATAGGACCGGTCCTTTTAGCCTGCGGTACATCTACAGGTGCACTACATATGATGGAATTGATATGTTCCCTCTACCATCAATGTTACAGAATTTTTAAAAAGAATATCATTATAAACAAAAGGTTAGGGTTCACTGGTTAGAACGAGAACCAGTCAAGGCAAAGTAAACTCTTCTGTCCCCAAAGGGCATGAACTAGGCTTGCTTTCATGGGCAGCAGTACACCTCTCAGGAGCACAGTATCATGCAGTGCTAGGTTTGCTCATACAGTCTGTAAGCTTAGTTACTAGCCTCTGTCGGATGCTGTCTGCCGTTACTCAATTGTGCGTACTGAAACAAGGTGTTTAGTAAAGCTATGAAAAATATTTGCCAGTTTAGCTAACATTTTGGTTTTTAATGGCTGTAGTAATTGTGTGAGGCAACTCTGGGGGCATTTTCTATGAAGAATTCTATTTCTTACTAATGAACAAATTATTAATATTGGATGAGTATTCCAACAGTGTGACTAATGTTTGAAATTATGTTTTCTAAGAATGTTTCTATAACCTTCGAAAAGTTAGTGATGTTTGTAGGTATTGTAAATCCAGCTTTGGAAGGCCAAAAAAATAAAAGACCGCCTTCCTTTTAGGAAAAAAAATGCGACTTTCTGACCACAGGGGCACAGTGCAGTTCACTTAAGTGTTAATATAGTTTATAGTCAGTCTCCTTTTTTTCTTCTTCAAAAGGTACTGTTAAGTAAACCAAGTTTTCTAAATAGTCATTCTTAAAATTTCAAACTTACACAGGTAGTAGTAGAATTTTATTTAAAGGTCCTAGGAATTAATTTTTTTTCAATGAGTGCTTTAACTTAAAACAGGCATTTGGACAGCTGCTGCAATTATAGTATTGTGTGTGATTTTTTTATGTTGATATATGCAGTCTAAGCATTGTTTCATTAAAGTTGGATCCTTTCCTGAGCTCAGAATGAGTTTACGAACTGTGAAGAAAATGGGACTAGAAATTTCCCCAACAGGTCAGATAGTAGTAACTACAGTGGTTGCTGATGGTGAGATTATTGTTAAACTATAATTAATAATTTGGGTGACAGTATTTATCTCTTTGTTGTAAACTCTTATAGCTGAATTGTTTAAGTGTAATTTATAGAACTTCAGTTAAATCTTTATGGAAAAACCTGAAACCTAAATTGCAGATTTAAAAGGTACTGTGCAACCATTGTATCTGTAAATAACTTTACTTAGCACCTTTTTGTCACTTAGAATAGTATGTAATACAGCTTGAGTGAGCACTTCGGGAAGTATTACCCCATTCTAGTGTTTGCTTAGTATTGAAGTGAATTTTCAGTTCTGTCCTAGACATTTGCACTACAGTAGCCTAATCCATTCTTGCATCCTTCTGTTAATGTGCTCTGTACTGCTGGTGAGTGTCCTTAGTTTCCTTACCAGTTGCTACAGAAGGTCATTTTATATCCCTGTGGCTATTGCCAAGGCTACAAAAGAGAAAGGCTGTATTTGTTTGCAGCACTAACCCTTTGACTGCTAATGTATGTTTCTGCTTACTGTGCCTTGTTATGGCTGCGTTTTTGTGTGCTAATAAGGTATGTTTGGTGTTCTCCTTGTTAAAAAAAATATATAACTAGAGTTATTTATTTATATTAAGACCAGAATAAGGAAAGGAGATTGTAAGTGGAGTTTAGAAAAGCGAGTAGAATTAAGAAAAAATGCATAGACTTCTGAGTTATGCATAAGACTTGATTCTAAAGCAGACTGTTGAAAAATTATTTCTATAGTCCTTTAAAATTCCATAGTCCCTTAATTCTTCTTGGAAAATTTGTAGTGTGCTTTAAAGGAAATATATCAAATTGTCCATGAGTATAAGCAACAGAGGATGATTTTTGTAACAAATATGATGAACTTTAATCATATTCTCACAGAATCACTATTACTGTATATTATAATGTTTTGCTTTTCTTGTTTGTCATGTTTTACAAGTCATTAATTTTAATTTTTAGTTTTGTTTCATCACATGAGAAGCCAAATACTTATTTATCAAATTCTGCTGAGGACAAGTTTGGTGCATCCTTCTTGACTCACTTACCTCAACAAGCTGAAAATACAGATATTGTAAGCAGAAGCACTTCTTTTTCTTTTATATTTTCCCTGAGTACTTAAACTTTCAATGATTGCTATTTTTTACATCAAAATGTAGGTCCATTTACAAGAAAGAAAACAAGATCTGTCACCAGTGATTGAGAGGTTATACTTCCCTCACTCCAAAAAAAATCCAAAATCTTCAAATTTTATGAAAATGGATTCTTTTACTAGAAACAGTGACTCTAAAAAGGAAATTGATTTCAGGTAAGCACTCTTTAGATACATTTCAAGATTATACTGATGAAAACTTTTTAAAGAAATTCAGCATTCTTTTCTCGCTGGGTGATTTTAAAGATCAGAACCTAAACACCGTAATAAAGACATTGAAATTATAGACACTTGATGACCTAAACTCTTTAAGATGTTTCACAACATGAAATACCTTTATTTTTTAAAACCTTTATGTTTGATGCTATTAATTAATTATAAAGCATTATGCTGATACTTATTTTTACTGATTTAAACATACTATATTTATATATTGTATAAAGTGTAATGTCATATGAGAAATACAAATGGAATCAGCTAATTATCCAAAAGTTCAAATCATAGTTTAACCAACCAATTATTTCACAACTCAACAGGTTCAGTGAAAAAGTCAAATGATATCTAATCAGTGCCCTTGTGTCTGGCCATTTTTTAAAGGGAAATTATAGCAATTTCCCTCTCTTTGAAGACTCAGATGATCAGAGACCTCTTCACATTTTATTAAATGACAGTATTTTCCTGTATATTTAAACAAATATCTAAAAGACTTCATCCTAGCTTTTTATAGTTTATGAAGTCTGTTTTTTCTACCCACAGTCTTCATATGCTTTACATACTGAAGTTGATTCAATACCTTAGCATCACAGCAGTCTTCAAGTTTATCTGTTTTTTAGTCTTACATTATTTATTCTGTATTTTAAAACAAATTGTGTAACAAAAGTAGTTATTTCTTATTTGCTCTCTCTCCAACCCCAAGTAGGCATCATCCTGATGATGAAGCTAATGAAATGAAGTCTTTTCTGGGAATATTTGATGATATTTTCTAAAACAAACCCCAAAATTTTTCTAGTAATAAGATGAAGTATGAAGATACCTAATCACAAAGCATGTTTTGTTTTTAAAAAGTAATTCATAATTGTGAAGAATTTTTCCCCGTGAACTTAATCAGATTTGTTGATTTTTTTAACAACAACATATATGGACTATTTCATTTTTCAGTTGTATTGTAACTTCTTTTGTTTCAATAAACTAATAATTCAATTCCACTTAGAAGTAATTGTTTCATTATTAATTGGATTTTGACAGAAATTAAGATTTCATTTTTATATTTTCTTGAAAAGTATTCTACAAAAGCAGAATAATCTTAATGAATCTATTTATTATATAGATTCCTTACTACTGTGGTTCTCATGTATTTTGTTCTACTATTTGCTGTTTTAGATTTTTAAGACTTCTGTGACTGTTTGAACCTGTTATCTAATTTTGAGCACTAATAAGTTAAATACTATTAATTGTATAGATAGTTGTTCTTCAGTGTTGTAAGTTCTAAACATTGTGTTGACCTTTACTATAGCAAGATACTTTATATTATTTTCCAATATGTTATATCTCAAACTTACAGATCCATAAGTAGCACATAGGGACCCTATGCAATGCTTATTTCTAATATATTTACTATGTAGACACTGTGTGAATTTGAAGCCCAAGTAAGAAATTTTTAAAAGTATGTTTTTTCAAGCCTTAAAAACCTTAGTGGTAAGAGAAGAGAACCTTCCAGATGATGTTGCTATTGTTAGTAAACATTAATAAGGCATCATATGTATTAAATAAAAATTTAGAACAAAATTAAGAGGTATTGTCTCATGTTGAAAAATAAGGACAAACAGTTCCTTTATTTTAGTCCTGTTTATAATTGACATGTTTCTGCATCTGAATCAGTCATGTTACAACTTTAAAGTTTCTTAAACACAATTAAAATGGAAAATTGACCTAATGCCTATTTATCTTGCATACATAGACCTTGACACAAAAGAAATAGCAATTTAATTCAACATGACTTACTGTGATCTGCTCAGTGAAAAGCACTATACTTAGTACTGCAAAGGATGAAAACAGTGTTTCTGCTCTCATGGAATTTTCTTTACCTTCTTGTGAAGAGGCTACAGTACTTAATATGGTATAGGTGTACCTCCAACATACTGTAGGTTTGGTTCTGAACCAAAATAATAAAGCTCATATTGCAATAAAATGAGTCACATGAACTTTTGGTTTCCCACTGAATATAAAAGTTATGTTTATACTATACTATTATGTATGTAATAGCATATCTTTTTAAAATATGCATACTTTAATTTTAAAATGCTAAGAAATGCTACAATCTGAGCTGTTGGCAAAATAGCACCAACAGACTTGCTCCATGCAGGGTTGCTACAAACCTTCAGTGTATAAATAGTGCAATATCTGTAAGGTACAATGAAGTGAAGCACAATAAGACAATATACCTATAAAAATAAAATATAGAATATCCTGGAGCAGTATTCTCAAACTAAACAGTACACTGGAATTCCGTAGAGGGTTGTTCCAAAACACATTGCTGCGCACTATAGATAATGCGTTAGATTCAGTGGTGTGGCATGATCTGAAGAATTTTCATTTCTAACATTCTGAAATAATGCTAATGCTACAGGTATAAGCACTCACTTTGAGAATTACCGTGATAGAGGTTTCTTAGAGGAATACACAAAAGAGAAAATATCATCATGGTTGTGGGGGCCTAGAGAGCCTTTGTGGAGAAGTTAAAATTTGAGCTGAGTCTTAAAAGATAAACAAGATTTTATAGAAAAAGACAAGGACAAAGGATATTCTAGGCAGAAGGAACAGCCTGAGCCAAGGTGCAGGAAGGAAAGTATCTATTTGGGGAATAATGAGTAGATAAGTTTTACAGGTGTTTTAGTTACTTTACTGTAACTGGAACAATTACCCAACACCCACAACTTTAACAAGGAGAGGTTTGTTTGGGCTCAGTTTTTAGAAGTTTTAATCCGCAGTCAGCTAGCTCCAAGGCAGAAATGGTACCATGGAAGGGCCTAGGCAAAGGACAGCTGGTCATTCCATGGCAGCCAGGAAGCAGTGAGTGAAGGAAAGATCTGGGGAGGAGGAGATGTTTGAGCTAGGCTCCCAGTGACTCACCTCTTCTAATCCAACCCTACCTCCTAACAACACATTTAACTCTGAACTTTTCAGTGGATTAATCCATCGATGAGTGTAGTGCCGCCATGATCCAGTCATCTTCCAAAACCCCACCTCTAAACACATGAGCCTTTTGGGAGGCATTCTAGATCTAAACAATAACAATAGGTTAATATTTATACTAGTCATGTTCCCATGGCTGGTTGAAAATACTGCTTGCAATTTAAAGGAGCAGAGGTTTACTGGGCCCACAGTTCCAGTGGGTTTAATCCATGACTAGATCCAAGGCTGAACTGGCATGGTGAAAGAGCATGGCAAAGGAAAGCTGCTTCTCCCACAGCAGCAGAAAGCAGAGAGAGAAGGAGGATTTGGGGACAAGAATGTACTCATCTACTTTTGCACCAAGTTACCCACCTCCAACCAGGCCACACTTCCTAACAGTATATTCAGCTATATGAATTCATCCATGGGTTAATCCACTAATGATTAGTGTCTCCATGATCCATTCACCTTCCAAAACACACACGACTTTTTATTTCAAAAATTTTAAAAACTAACAAAACAAGACAAAATCAGAACAACAGAAAAACAACAAAAATGATACATGACCTCAAAACAAAATGATAGGAATTAACAGTGGTTGCTACATTACATACTGTTATCTTCAGCAAAGTTGCTCAGTCCACCAGACATAAGGATGTCAGATCAAACAATCAAAGACAGTAACAAGTAATAATAAAAAAAAAAAAATTGGAAATGATGCAGAGCTTCACCATACAAAATGGTAGGAGTTCAACAAAGGTTCTTCTGCTGCATATTGTTGTTTTCAGATCAGTCATTCTGCTTACCAAATTCAAGCATGCAAAATTGGTCAAGAAAAGAAATTTTAAGCGTTGACTGTTCCTTTCAATAAACCACAGATATCAGCAATACACCTATTCCAGCTATCCTTATATATACATATAAATTTTGTTTTTCATTTAAAAAAAAACACAAATAACAAAAACAAATATATAAACAAAACAGCATAGAGAACAATAAAAGTTATACAGAATTTCAGAACAACACACATGAGACTTTCAGGGGACAGATGTAAACCCTAACAATGTTAGAGATGCCTGAAATGTTCTTTAAGGCAAGACCATGGAAGGAAAGTTTTAATGAAACTCAAGTTTTACTCAGTAGACTGGTGTTTCTAAAATTTGCTTCATTGTAAAAAGATAATATGGCTAATATATAAATACCTGGACCTCACCTCAGATCTACTAATTCAGAGTCTCCATGGAGGGTAATAGGAATTCTGTAGTTTTAACAATCACTCCTGATGGTTCTTATGATCTGGTCAATTTGGGAAACACTAATAGATAATAGATTCATTTCCTAAGGAATCAAAATGAACGGCAAACTGACAGTGTTATAGACATGCCTCAGTTTATTTAACCTTTATGTTTTATATCTGTATATATAAAATTATATGCAACTCAGAAACCCTGCTATATATACCAACCACTTAAAGGAGTCTAATTGCTGGCTGTTCTTTTCATGAAGTGAATAATAATCCTAAATTTTCCTATTTTTAAGATACATGTATTCATTTATTCACACGGAATGAACCAAACAATGGTGCTTTTCACAAAAATTTCTGGGGGGGTTAAATTTCTCTGAAAAATTTCTCAAAATGTTCCTCAATAGGCTACATTTCTTACCTTGTTGGCAAAATGGCATCTACCTCAGATGTGTGTAGTGAGGACCTAGTAAGCCACTGCATTGAAAGCTCTTAGTTTAGGGATGGATACAAAGTATTTGTACCAAAAAAGGGAAAAAAGGATTTGTTTTAACACTGGAAAGGCTTATGAGAAGGCCATTTCATTTGAGTTACATCGAGTGGCATAAGAACTTGATAGTTGAACTCTTGCCTTTCAACAGATGTATCGTCATAGAAAATCTTTTTTAGTAGAGCCTTCCCTCAGCCTTCTTATGCTTTCAGGCAGATCCCTATCCCTATCTCTTCCTCACCAACACTACAGTATTAGTTGGTATGTGATTACAGTATATAATTACATTATTATTACCTTAAGTAAAATATAATTAAAAATACATTTCCTGAAAATTCTATTATAATAATGCATTTTTTATAATAATACATTCTAATGCCAGACAGAAATGATTGTTGAATTATTCACTTGTCTAAGTTTTGGCACAATTTACTTTTTAGTAGAATCATGCAAAGTCTCTTTACCATGACTTTTCCTAGAAAGCATCCTCATCAGGCACAGTAGGGTCCCACTTTTTGAGAACTCCTAGCTTGGGAGTCACAGATAATACTTACCTATGGCATATTAGATGGCAGTTGTCTGTATTTAAGAACTTTTCCTTTTGTGAGACTAGAGAAGCCACCAGCAAGGAAGACAAAGAAAAGTAATCTAGTCTTAAGATCATCCTAAGTAAATAACCTAAGAATGTCAGTCTGAGTTTTGGGTAGTCTATGGGACAAAACAAAGAAAACCTGACATGTCTTCCCTTCTGTCATTTCACCTCCTGTCTCCATAGTTTAAATTAAGGCCTTACTACTCAAAGTCTGATCCAAAGGCTAGTAAGATGGGGAACACCTAGAACCCCTTTAAAGGCTCAGTGTCTCAGACCTCATCACAGGCCTCTTAGTCAAAATCTGAGTTTTAACAAGATTCCCAGGTGATCGTGCATATTAAAATGTGAGAAGCAGATATATAAGGTGGAAAGAAGAGGAGATGATATCAGAATTTTAAGAGAATATTTGAGAAGACAAGTAGAAGAGTAATGACGGAGCTGGGGATTTAGCTCAGCGGCAAAAGCGCCTGCCTGGCAAGCGCAAGGTTGTGAGTTCAGTTCCTGGTACCGGAGAAAAACCAAAAAAAATAAAAAACAAAAAAAGAAAGAAGAGTAATGATTACTCAGCTTTCTGTACATGTATTTCCTATTTAAAATGTATGGTAATATAGCTCTTGTTTAATTGCCTTTCAGTATAGGTTGTTTTCTTCACCAAACTGTGTAAATTATCTTTATAATTCTCATATATCAGCTGGTTGTTTTTTATGTG